CATCTTAAAAATTTCATAGAGATCTGCATTGATTTTATTCAACATTTCTATGTTATTTCCAGCGAGCAATATATCATCCACATATAAGGATAATATAGTAAATTTTCTCCCACTTTTCAAGACATATACACAATTATTTTAATTTATTTTGAATAAAACTAAGTTTAGTGACTGCATCATGAAATTTGAGATACCATTGTCTAGAAGACTGTTTTAAACCGTATAGAGACAAGTTTAGTGACTGCATCATGAAATTTGAGATACCATTGTCTAGAAGACTGTTTTAAACCGTATAGAGATTTTATTAATTTTCATGAAATTTGAGATACCATTGTCTAGAAGACTGTTTTAAACCGTATAGAGATTTTATTAATTTGTAAAATTTATGTTCCTGTCCTTTCACCTGAAAACCTTCAGTTTGTTGCATATATATCGCTTCCTTCAACTCTCCATTAAGGAATGTAATTTTAACATCCATTTGGAATAACTCCAAATTAAGATATGCAACAATAACCAAAATAATTCTAATAGATGTAAATTTAGCTACAGGAGAAGTTTACAGGAGAATACATCTACTAAAAATTTATTCCTGCCTTCTGGTTATAACCTTTGGCAACTAACCGTGCTTTGAATTTATCAATAGATCTATCAACATGATATTTCTTTTTGAGCACCCATTTGCATCATATGGCTTTTTTATTTTTCGGTAGATCACACAACTCTCATACCTTATTCTTTTCTATAGAATCAAATTCTTCTCTCATGGATTCTATCAATAAAGCTGATTCATGTGATTTCATCGTATCAGAAAAGGTTAAGGGATCTTGTTCTTTTATATTTGTATCTACCGAGAAACATGATGACTCATATGAATACAAATAGTAATCATCCATCCATGAAGGTTGTGTTCTTGGCCTTTTGTTGCCTACAACTGGTTGATGATGTACATTATTTTCCATATGCATTTCATCATTTTCAAGGTTAGGTTCATTCACAATATCAGGGTCATTAGTGAGAACAACACTGTAATAATCATCATCTATTACAGTTAGAGGTTCTGTTTCCTCTCGAACTTGTTCCTCTTCCTCTAGATTCTCTAGAAATATAGCATCTCTGCTTTCAATGACCCCTTTTTCTTTATTATAGAACTTATAACTTTTTAACTTTTCTGAATACCCTATGAATCTATACTTTATTGTTTAAAATCCAACTTATCTCTAAGTTGACATGGAATGAGAACATAGGCTATAGATCCCCACTTCTTGAGATGACTCAAATTAGGTTTTCTCCCATTCCATAATTCATAAGGTGTAGATACAACTGATTTGGTAGGAATTCTATTTAGAATGTAGTTTATAATTAACAATGCTTCTCCCCAAAAGTTTTTAGAGAGACCAGGATGAGACGTCATTCATCTAACTACATTCAACAATGTTCTGTTCTTTCTTTCAGCAACACCATTCTGTTGTAGTGTATATAGCATTGTTGTATGTCTTTTAATTCCATGCTGAATATAATAACTTTTAAATTCTTTAGAGTTATAATCCTCACCTCTGTCAGTTCTCAAAATTTTGATTTTCATTCCAAGTTGGTTTTCAACTTCTGTCTTAAATCTCTTAAAGCAGTCAAGAGCTTCTAATTTTCTGGATATAAGATAGATGTGTGCAAACTTAGAATAATTATCTATAAAAGTAATAAAATATTCTTCATTACTATGAGTTTTGACACTTAGGGGATCATAAATATCTGAGAGTATCAACCCTAAAAGTTCATTGGCTCTTTGTTCGCCAATAAAATATTTTCTAGTCATTTTACCAGTTAAACAATATTCACATGGTAGCAATTGAACATTAGATAGTGCAGGAAGTAAGTTCATTCGGATAATTTTTTTTATTTTTGAAATACTAGCATGTCCTAGTCTAGAATATCACAATTTAGACTCAAAAATATAACATGACAACTAGTTCAAATTCAAAATTTTATTATCAGAATTATTATAAACTACTGGAAGAATGCATAATTTATGCTCGGACACATATTATCCCATAGCATACACTTTATTATTCTTGCCTATAGAAACCCGGTTATTATAGAACCTAACTTCCAGTCCTTTCTTCATCAAGCTGGGAATAGAGATCAGATTGCATCGAATCCCTGGCGTATAGAACACATCTTTGAGGACAAGAATACTGTCCCCAAGACCTAATCTATACGAACCAATACCTTTTATATCGAGATATGTATTATTTCCCATATAGATTCTCTGTTCTCCTTTCTTCAGCTCGTTGAATTCTATGACTCCATTCTTGTCCTTTGCGATATGTCTAGTGGCACCAGAATCGATCCACTAACTGCTAATATCCGTCATCATAGTATTGTATTCCGTGAACAAGAATACTGTCCCCAAGACCTAATCTATACGAACCAATACCTTTTATATCGAGATATGTATTATTTCCCATATAGATTCTTTGTTCTCCTTTCTTCAGCTCGTTGAATTCTATGACTCCATTCTTGTCCTTTGCGATATGTCTAGTGGCACCAGAATCGATCCACTAACTGCTAATATCCGTCATCACAGTATTGTATTCCGTCACACCGACGAATTCTCTTTTGCTAGTACCTCCTTGTTCTGGATGCTTATAACCTATCGTATTCTCCTGTTTTTTACATTGTGGGCAATTGGGCTTGAAATGCGCGAACTTTTCATAATTGTAACAGGCTCCGTGGGGGTACTTTCTTTCTCTTGAATTGTTGTGATTTCGGTCCTCGCGGTTGTGGTTTATTAGAACTAAGGTTTTTATAGCTTCTAGCATTATGCTTATAGTGGACATAATTCAGCTCTTGCTATACCATATTCAGTTCTGGTTCTTTTTTACTAGCTATTAAGTCTTGTTCTATCGCTAGGTGCATAAGAAGAACGATGACAGATTTAACGGCAGTGTTTATTCTTAATGTGGTGGCAGCCACAACAAGGGAAGGAGGGAGACTATTCAAAATGGTTGCCACTTGTATTCTTTCCCGGATTTTGGTCCAAGCAGAGGATAAGTCCTTAGCCATGAAAATTATCTTATTTATATGCTCTACGACATTGTCTCCCTCTTGCATACGATAATAATTATACTTATGCAAGAGGAGTTGAATGTTAACTTTAGAGGCGGTGTCATATTTTTCTTTTATAGCATTCCACATATCGAAGGAAGTCTTATAAGTTTCAAAAACTTGATTAAGTTATCCTCCATGAACATGAGCATAAAGCTTTTTGTCTTTTTGTCTTTCGACTTCCACTATTCAAACGCTTTCTTTTCTTCAGGGGTAAACTTATCAGTAAGGGTTAGAGCAGTGGTTTCGATTACATCATCGATATTGTCATGGATAAGAGCATGTCCTATTTTTCTATACCACATATCATAATTACTGCCATTAAATTTGTTAATTTTTCTTAGTTCTGATAGAACGAGTTTACTAGCCATTCGGTAGAGAACTAAAACTAACTGTTCCGAGTTAATGAAAGAGGGTCCAATTTGAATGAGATTGTCACTCTGCGGTGTTGATTGGATCAACACTTGTCAAAGTCGGTTCTGTTTGAATTATGAAGATTATCTACTGTGTGAAACCAGCTTTGCGCGGTGCCCTCCACTTGGATAGGTGAAACAGGTCTTCGCTTGGCCCACACAATATTAATTTATAAGTGTGAAAACAGCATACACTACTGGTCAAGCAAGCCCAAATACAAAGGCCCAATAAGCTAGTAAACAATAAGTTGGATCTAGATTATGAAACAACCAGGCTATGAAACAATAAGGTGGATGCAGAGTACTAAACATCCAGGCCTAATAGGCTATGAATGTAGGTAGATGTAGCCGGCTATGAACAAGCTAGGTTGGATGAACAATAGGCCGGTATGAATAAGGTGTATGGTGAATATGTTGTAGGCTATGATTGTAGGCCATCTCTTAACTTTGAGATATTAATATGTTGAGAGTGGGTCGCCGGGTGGATGGAATGGGCTGTACGCTTTACTTTAAAGCTTGAAAAAATGACAGACAGAGCAAAACAGAGAAGAAGGAAACACCGACTCTGATACCATTGATCGGCTGTAGATAAGAAGAGAAAGAGTGGCAGATATCTTTGAGGGGCTCCGGTAATAGGTAGAGATTGATTCCGTGTTCACTCAAGAAGAACGATTCTCCATTTATAGCGGCCAAACCCATCATCTCCACCCCCTCATAACCGCCCCTGAGAGATTTTCTCTCAACAAACTTATTTTCCACATTTCCCATAATTTTCACAACTTGAGAGCTGTTGATTTTGTCACACAGGACCGAGTCAAGGTAACAAGATGGAGGAGGAGGGAGGTGGAGGGGGAGGAGACGAGGGAAAGGGTTAGGGTTTGAAAAACCCAGGGGTCAAAAAGATGATGGAGGAGATGAGGAGGGGGAGGGGGAGGGGGAGAGGAGAGAGAAAGGAGGAGGTGGAAGGGGGTGGGGGAGAATGAGTTAGGGTTTGGAGAAATCCTAGAGATGGAATGGATGACGAAGAAGGCGGAGGAGGAGAGGGGAGAGAAGGAAGTGGAGGAGGACGAGGAGGGGGAGAGGAGAGGGAAGAGGGGGATCAAGGATAATTTTACTTTAAATTCTTTTTAGCAAAATAGTGTTTAAGGCGTGACATTACAAACATATAAGCAAATGTATTTTGATCAAAATAAAAAATAAAGATGGTAAATATCAATTTGGACAAAAATTAAGATAATTTTTACGTAAAAAGCCTATAAAATATTAAAACCTAGCCAAACAATTATTATAACTACAAATATAACTATACGTGACAACAGTTAGAACAGCTACATCACGTGTAACCAACAATTGCATTGCGATCACGGTTGGCATTGAACCAACAGCTCATTAAAGTACAAAGCAGGCTTGATTTTGAGCTTGCGGGTTGCCAGCCTGAGCCCATTTTCAGTCCTACAACCCGACCCGTCAACAGCCCAGAACAACCCTCCCCCTCTTCTTCCCTCGGTTCAATTTTGCCTTCAAATGTAAACCCAAACTTTGTCCCAGGGTTCAAGAGGAAAAAAACAGTCTCTTCCTCGACAATGGCGAGCTTCCTCTCTCCATCCTTCTCCCTCTACACGCCAATCCCATCCAGAACCCCAAAACTAGGGTTTCTCAAGTGCACCAATCAAACCCTCTCATTTCGTCCCAAAGCCCTCAGCCTCAAAATCTCATGCTCTCATAGCCCAAATTCTTCACTTCTAGCATCCTTTTCCCAAAAAGCTTGCATCTTGATTGTTGGGTCTCTTCTTCTCATGGGCAGATTCAACCCCAAGCCAGCACTGGCTTTATCTAATGCTCCAAAAACTAGTTTTGATGAGAAATTGGAGGAAAGAAAGGAAACGCAGAAAGAGAAAGAGGGGGATGAGGAGATGTATGCAAAGATTTTGGAGAGGAACCCAACTGATGTTGAGGCTTTGAAGGTGGTTTTGTATGGGAGGATGAGGAAGGGGAAAATGGCTGAGGCTGTGAAGTTGGTTGAGAGATTGATTGAGTTAGAGCCTGAGGAGGTTGAGTGGAGATTGTTGGAGGCCCTTTGCTGTGAGATGATGGGGGATTTGGGGAAGGCGAAGAAGCTGTTTAGGGAGATCTTGAAGGAGAGGCCTCTGTTGATTAGAGCTCTGCATGTGAGTTTTCCTTTGGTTGTTTTGCTTGTTTGGTGCTTTTGAGAATGCTTGCTTTGTGTTTGATGAAATGGGTCATAGACTCATGCAGATAAGTTACTTGGAGGTATAGTATTTGAATTAGATACGACATTGATATGCATATTTGTAGTTGGTGTTGGAAGTTAGAATAGATATAAGGGAAGGGACTTTAAACGATATAAAGTTATGCCGGTCCAAATTCTATCAACTGCGATTTAAGATAACAGATTAAAATATATCAGTGAAGCTCAGGTTCACTCCATAAAAGGGACGGTCAACCTACAATATAGAATATGAGTAACAATCTACTTTATTTATAACACTTTCTAATTGTTTGTTATAAATTGTCATATTAAGCTTGTTCATCTCCTTCTAATTATTTCTATGTTATCTTCTAGGGTGTTGTTTTCCTAGACACCACCTTAAAAATAGGGTCATTTTACAAAAAATCACCTTTCATTTTCAATTAATACGTAAACCACCTTTAAACTAGGTTTTTGTTCCAATCAACCACCCTCGATCAAAATTGTCACTAGAATTCCAAAAATACCCTTAAAAAACATGCATTGAAGACGTGTGACTCACTTTGTTAACATTCAACTCTATTTTGTAAATAACCCTATTTTAAGGTTTTTTTTAGGAAAAAACTCTTTTTTTGTTTCATGGCATTTCAAAGTCTGATCAAAAGTTTATAGTTATATCTCCATTGACTTATCCTAATTTAGTATGCGGCTAAAAGGTCTTTTACCCGCATTACTTACCTTATCTCATGTATATACATACATCCATACATATATATATATATATATATATATATATGTGTGTGTGTGTGTGTGTGTGTGTGTGTGTGCGCGCGCGCGCGCGCGTGTGTATGGAGTGGTGACACATACGTGTATCACAAAACTCGTGATACATACATGTGTCAAGAGTGGTGACACAGAGTTGTGTCTAGACTATAAAAATATAAAGAGTATAAGCACACTTAACACCTGAGTGTTTTCTAACTTACACACTATCATAAATGTTTAATCATCATCATGATTAAAATCTAAGATTTATTATTTAAGCCCTTTAATAGATCCTCTCACATCCATATTGGACTATTAGATTTTTTTTTCAATTATATTTAATCGTATATATAATGTCACAAATATGTTCTGTGATTTGCCCCACTTTTTTTATTTGTGTCAATATTGTTTAATCATTTACAAATAAAATGATAATTTTATATGTGTTATAAAATAAGTGTGGACATATATAACGTTTATCGTAGTGTCATGACATTCATGTTCATGTAGCTAAAAAAAGGAGAAAAAATCACATATTTCTAGATTTGTAATATCGTTGGAAAAACAGTACTGGCAATCAACAATCATCCGCAAGCGCAGATTATCACTTGGATCTTAAACAAATTCAGCCATTTTCAAAAGAGTATTTTTTTAATAGCGGGAATAATTCTTCTATCGAGTTATAGCTAAAGAAGTATAAGTTTCATAATCCAAAATACAAAAGAACCGTGCGGGTTCCATATCTCCTATGAGCTCATTGCCCTAAACCAACTTGTGCACCTAAATTCGAGCGAAACACTTTCCAAATCTTCATACACGTCTGCATTAAAATTCTAATCAGAGAGCAATTGTAATTCATATTCATAAGTACGCATGGCATTCCACACCAAACGCTTGTCTGAGTTTTTTAACAAAGCCAAACTGAGCCAATACCGCTCAAATTAATCCCACGCGGATTGGATAAGCCACCAAAGTTCATTAATGCAACGAGACGATGATTGTTGAAGGTATTGGCACATGTGGTTAAATTTGGAATAAAACAGATAAACTTGTTAGGAAGTTGAAATGTTGTATTTTAAAACTTTTTCAAGTTTAGTTGTTGTGCGTTTATGAAACAATGTGCTTATAGCAATATTTGGTCTACTCCGGTACAAAGATCCCAAAACCAAACTACTTACAGGAACATCAGTATAGTATACCGGTGTACACCAATCAGGTACTATCAAGATCTCCTCGATCTATAAGGCAAAGATCTCCTCGATCTATCAAACCTTTCGGCCAAAACCTTTCAGCTCAGGCAAAGATCACATCAATCTGTTAAAAACCTTTCGGTTCAGGCAAAAGATCTTTCGATCTTAAATAACTTTTCAGTTCAGGCAAAAGATCTTTCAATCTTAAACAACCTTTCGGTTCAGGGCTATGTTCCTTCGGCCACAGATTAAAGCTTGCACGCTTTCGGATTCTGCAACAGCAGCACAACAGCACAAAAGGCGTGTTTATGGATGTGCACTTCACGTGGTTAACTATCAAAATTATTTATTTTTTGCTTTATTTTCTCATTATAAACCAGTCATATTTATTTTGAGTCTAAATATGTAAACTTGAATTATTATATTTGCCATAATATTTTTAAATAAATTTTTGATGAAATGGATTTGTGTGTTAAATTATGATCAAATTTACTTTTATATAATTGGATACACAAATATTACTTTTTTCAATTTGTACAGATCAAACTTCATGCAATATATTTATTTATAAGACCATCGATCTCTAATTTGTTTGTTTTAGTTAGTAAATGCAATGTTAAGTATGAAGAAAAATACAATAATTTGTTGTTGATGGATAAAAATATAAATAAATTTCTACAAAAGGAGCTTGACTTGAGAAAAAATATTATTGTAAAAGTAAAAAATAATTAATAGTAAGATGATTTGTATAAGCTTAGCACAATACACATACTTTCCTCCGGAATGCAAGAGATCTTAATTATTGAAAGATTTAAAATAAAAAGACAAAAAGTAAAGATGAATGATAACTCTAGTATAATTTTATATGATAAAAGCATTCACATAAGTATATAAAAATACTATAACATCTTCCATGAAAATCTCTTCTAAAGTTTCCTAATTTTACTCAAATTAATTAAGCTATAGTATATGTTGATGTATGGAATCACACAGTCAAATAAAATGAGTTGATTAAATTGACGGAGGTCCGCTAATTCTCCGAATGACCGGTTTTTGAGCAAGTTATTCTTTTCTGCACAAGTAACAAATCGTAAGAGGGCAGTGTGTGATTCCCTGATTGTTCCGCTGATGATCAAGTCAGCGAGCCTCTTGTGTGAAGAAGTAAAAAGAATTGTAGTAGTTCTTTAGTTCAGAGAGTAATGAGAAAAAGTTTACCTTATAATTAAAAATAATATCCTCTTTTATAGTAGGGGCAGGAGGGTAGAAGGGTAATTTCGACCGAACATGAGCTGGTGGCCACGTTAATCTCAACTTTACAGGTGTCGGCTAACGAGTGGAGAAGAGGTTACTTCGACGTTTAATGCGGAGTGATGGGGGGTGTGCGGTGACAACGTGGTTCAATTTGTTATAAATACTATTAGAGGCAGAGGAATGATGATGCCCATAATTTATTTAATGATATTTATTGTGAGATGATTGGTCATCAATTCCCAGAAGGGGGCTCGAGGCTCGAGGTGTTTTGTCGTCTTTCTGCTCATCAGATGGTCGAGAAGTATCACTTTTTGAGTCGCCATCGCAAGGTGTCAGCCGATGAGTCGGCCGAGTGGAGTGGTTAAGCAGTCGATTTAACTAGGAGAAGGCACGTAACGTCTTTTAGATCGTCGACACGTGACGCCTTTCGAGTCATTCTCGCAAGATGTCGGCGTGTCAAGTCGACCGAGTTGGGCCTCTAATTGTCTTGAAATATTGGCTTGATTATGCATAATGTAGACACTTGTCTGTCATTGATTGGAGATTATTTCTCATCACTAAAATGGCTATAATAGTATACAAGATATAATGTACTTTATTCCTTCTTTTTCATATTTTAATTGAGCCAAGATCAATCCTTCTCCACATTTATTTTTTCTGGCAATTCTAGAGTAATGTTTTCATTGTCTACATCAACTAAAGCTGGATTTTTTGTGCTATTATATTTCCTTTGGTTTGTTCATCTTTTATCATCTCATCTAACTTTGCCAGGATTTGAATATCTGTCGGATTTTAAACAAAAACTTTTAAAAATACGCACTCTAATTATTTTTATGTTTCAATGAGAATATTTTCTAAATTTATTATCTAAATAGTGCTAGGTATCTCTTTTTTCTCTACAATGAATTCTTTTGCTATACATCCGATAAGAGTTTCTGTTGCATCAAATAAAGACATTCACTGTATATGAAAAAGAAAGAATGTCAATCTTATTTTTTTTTCTTACAGTATTAAAAATGAGTATCATAATACTATTTATCCACTGTCATGATTTCTCTCCTATTGTCTAGTTTGTTATATTTTGTAACATAGATGATCACCGGCTTCACGTTAGTTGATATTGCAAGAATATATTTGCATGTAATTTTATAGTTAGTTTATAATTCCACAAATTTATATGTCATTTTGTATTGAAGATTAAAGTATGAAAATTTATAATTACATATTAATTTTTCTTGCATCTTCCATTGAAAATGCTTCTTTGATTGGGTCAAAGATATTTAATATATTCTCCAATTAGAATTCAGTTGGTGCTTCTTTGAAATGGATTTGTCTTTTGTCAATGTTAAGTCAAGTGATTCATGGATAATTGTAAAATCTAGGTTTATTTCTTTCACTTCTCCATTTGAAATGAAAATAACTTGATTTTTTAAAGCATATCTCTAATCTTTTTGATAGTCTCTCTGTACATAACTCCTTGTATTTTATTAACCTGTGAATATTATAAACATCAAAGGTCAATGTTTATAAAATATAATTAATTAATGCTAAGCTATATATTATATTTTATTTGGTTATATGTAAAATAGTCTTTAATTAACTAATGCTACTTATGTATTTTTGCTACTCAAAGAGTCAAAGTTATGAGTAAAATTTTATTCAGTTATTTTAATTTATATAGTCATTCTAATTTTTAATCTATTAATATATTTTTCTAAATTATACATCTTAAGGGGATATCTTTAATCTAATAATTATTGCTTTTTTTTACCAACAACAACTTGGATTATTTTAAAACGCTAAGAAGGTCTAGTAAAATCTTAAATTGAAAGTTAAATTTACATATTGAGAAAAAACGATAATATAATTTCTCTTTTATTTGTAATTTTTTCAAATTTTAGGGGTTCTTGTATAATGTTGAACTTTTGAAGTGTTGTCTCTAAAAATTTTAAAACTTTGAGTGCGTTTTTTATAAATTTTAAATTTTCAGTTGGGCGCTACTAATTTTCATATTTCATATGTTGGTGCTAAATTTTATAATTTTTGGATACTTGTAGGTTTGAATTGTTGATGTTAAATTTTGAAACTGTGTTATTTTTTGTCAAATTCATATTTTTAGGGGACTATTGATAAATTTCTAGATTTTTTGTGTATAGGATGTAACATTTGAAATTTTAGGTATGTTTGTAGTTTTGAAATTTTGAGGGTTTCTTTGCAAATTTTGAAACTTTGTGCGTTTTTTCACAATTTCAAAAGAATAAATTATAAATAGAGTTTTATTTAGATAACTATTGTAATTCTAATTCTAAATAGATATTACGTTCTAATTACCCACTTCTTTCTTCGATTCACTGTTGAATTTAGTAGCCAATAAAATGTTGCAGTATATGACATCTTTGAAATGGATTATTCTATTGATGACTGGATATAATAATCGTGGATAATTCAATTGAAAGCATTCCTCATGAACTTGGATCTCTATTTAGTATGGTAAGAGAATAAAAACAGAATAATTAGGAATTGAAATATATATCATCTATAAAATGAGCCCTACATATTCATGTGCTAACAAGCAATTTTCTCTTTTTATCAAATTTTGAGTATTTTTTTTCAGATAACCGATTGCACTGGATTAATATAGTTCACTGCTAAAAAAAACTATAATTAGTTCACGTGGGATGGGATTAGGGTCGAACAAAGTTCACGTGGGATGGGATTAGGGTCGAACAAATATAAGATTGTTATAGTGAGGTTTAAATTTAAATTGTTGAGCGATGGGGGATAGGACAAATACGACATTGTTGTAGTGATAGTAATGTTAAATTGTTGATTCATGTAAGATTAGTGTAGAATAATTAGGACTAGGATATGCTATGATTAAAATGTAATGTTCAAAATATTGAAGGGTAATATTGACCGTATAAAGCTTTTCCTGAACTCGTACTTTTAAAAGGAGTATGATATATATATATATATATATATATATCGATTTCTGGAATAGCAGAGTCTAAATAGGATTTATTTGCAAGATATTGCAGAATAAATAAATCATTAAGTTTGGTGCTACTTGAAATTAAAAAGCTATTCTCATTGTGCGGTTCTAAGAAGATTTTTAACCGAGTACAGTCTTACATCGTTGTTTAGAAAGCTGGATCTCAACAAAGAACTTTACCCAAGCACTTTATTTGCTTGGCAAATGATTTCAGTTTGCCGGAACAACAAAAACCACCCTGTCATCTGTATTTGCTTCTATTTGGCTGTCCCACTTCACTTTCTTTGTGAGGAAAAGAAATTTGCATTGACTTCTGGTGAAGCGGTGGCATATGTTACCTAGCTACTTCTAATATGGAGATGCACCCGTACCCGACACATATCATATCCTTACTTGTACCCGACACTCCTTGGACACTTCTTAAATATTTGCATATATTTAGTCAGACATGTACCCAATTATACAATGCATGTTTAATTTAAAATGCTCATCATACACTTCTTGGATATGTATTCTACACTTCGTATTAATTTTTTAAACTTGTTGGATGAGGGTCGAGTTCGTTTCTGCCTTAAGAGCTATGATTTAAAAGGGTCGTTTGCATATATAGCTCAGAACTATGATTATATCCCATGAGTGGCAGCCCTGTCCCCATACCCTGCCTTTTAAAAAATTTCCATGTACCCGCACCCATACTGGTGCAACTTAGGCAGCCTAACTGCCTAAGGGGATTTTACAAGAATGTACGTTGTTAATATATGCTACCAATTGTGCCATTTTTCAAACTAAAATAAAATATCAGATATGTTGAATTCCTTTTTAGAAGAAAATTTAGTGTTTAGTAGATGCTTAATATTTGAACTGTCTTCTAAATATGATATTCTGCCAAAAAATATCATGATGTAAAAAAAAACCCTATATTACATCAGTTGTTAACTATCATAATATTTTATAATATAGAAACTGATAACTCCAACTATAGGGATTGGCACTGGCTATGCATAAAAATCGTGAAGGCGCAGCTGTTTTTGAAATGCTGAACAAAGCTTTGGAACTTGCACATCGGGAGAATAGAGTTACAGAAGAGCGAAATATAAAGCTTTTGATTGCGCAAATGCATGTGGTCAAGGTATCAATATCTTCTCTATGCTTTATTTTTTACGTGATTGTTAGGTTTATATGGAGGAAACCTATTATGACTTTAGTTTCACTTTGACCGCCCGTTGAGAATCTTTTTTATGCCGTGCAGGGTGACTTGGAAGAGGCATTGAAGCTATTTCAAGATCTTGCAAACCAGAATCCCAGAGATTTTCGGCCATTTCTTTGTCAGGTTAATCTTATTCTGTGGTATATTGACTATATGGTAATTGCGGGTAGCCCCCTCATATATACTTTTGGTAGTATTAGTCGTCTCTCAACTCACTTGGGATTGACATGAGAGAAATATAAATTGTAGATGATCCAATTGGGAAGCGTATTGAAGGAATAGATGAGGGGGTCGTCATCTTTAATTTAACCTTGACAATATCATTGTTCTTATTTCCTGTATGTGAATTTTAGTTTAGAGATATATTAGTTAGTCTTATTTCTTTTCCTTTTCGCTTTGACGTCCCCAAATTAATTGATTGATTCGTGTTATTGGTTGGTCCTGCTTTAAATAATAACTTATATATGGAGTAAGATCTGTATTGATATCACCACTGACTACATTTGATAAATTCTAACAGGGGATCGTATACAGCTTATTAGACAAAAAGAATGAGGCTGATGAACAGTTTGAGATCTACCGCAGCCTCATTCCCGAAGAATACCCACAAAGAGGCTTCATCAACGATGTTATATTGGCCGCGAAAACAGAGTCACGAGAGAAGCTTCAGAAAGATTTTGAAGCTGAGTTCTCATACAAGAAGTAAGATCATGGTGTTGGAATGGAAATCGTGTTAAGAGGAATTATCGCATTGGTGAGGGTCAAGGGAGCTGTAAACTTATCGCTGGTTTTGCACGAACGCCCATGAGCTTTACATACGGGGTTCCCCCTCAGCCTGCTTCGCTAAAATGCGGCTGACTGACGGAAATTAGTTCAAGTTGTCACGTGCTTCACAAGTAACATGTTTTCTTGACAACTTCGTCTTCTTGTGTTTTTTTCACTTTCAGCGGGAGCTTTTTAGGTTAGAATTGATTAGATACCAATGAGGGTAATTTAGAACTTTCATACTTTATGTTAATGTTGTTTACGACGATTTCAAATAGCTCAGGAGGGTGTGTATAACTTTGAAAGTTCACGAGGGCTTTCTGTTAGTTGCAAAGTTTAGAGAGGTTTTCTGCAAAACACCCCAAGTTCACGGAGATTTTGTGAAACTTATCCTATATCGCTCTTGATTGCCCGAGTTTCAAACAATCATCTCTATCAGCCGTTCCGTTAACACAGAACAATTTATACCCTTTTCCTATGTAAGTTTAATTTTATTGAACTCTAGGATCAAAGTTAAGTATCCAAAATTGTTATCCGCTTTAATTTTGGTAGTACAGAGTTTTTGTTTTGCCCAAAATATCACAAAGTCGCTTCATTTTTCACTTTGATAGTCAAAGTTCTTTTTTCTCAAAAAAAAAAAAAAAAAACACCTCAAAGTTTAGCAAATTTTAACTTTGATACCAGAAATTAAAAAAAAATAATGAAATAATTTTGATATTCCAAATGTCAACAAAATTTAATTTTGATATCCAAAGTTCAATAAAAGAGATTAATGGGTATCCTTGTCATAGGAGGGGATTTCCTCCTATGTCGCCTCTAAAATCACATGATTGAGCGACATTATGGATGATCCGCTCTGTTGAACTTGATCTACATATTCTAAAACCCCAACACATCAAGTTTGGGGTGAACCCGTCGTCGTTTGACCCTTCATCCACTCGTATCAATTTTAACGGTTTTGAATGAATAGAACTTTTCACATGGCTCGATGGAGGGTCAAACGACGACGGATTCACCCCAAACTTGGTGTGTTGGGGTTTTAGAATATGTAGATCAAGTTCAACGGAGCGGATCATCCACAATGTCGCTCAATCATGTGATTTTAGAGGCGTCATAGGAGGAAATCCCCTCCTATGACAAGGATACCCATTAATCTCTCTATATATATAGTGAAGAGATTAATGGGTATCCTTGTCATAGGAGGGGATTTCCTCCTATGTCGCCTCTAAAATCACATGATTGAGCCACATTATGGATGATCCGCTCTGTTGAACTTGATCTACATATTCTAAAACCCCAACACACCAAATTTGGGGTGAACCCGTCGTCGTTTGACCCTTCATCCACTCGTATCAATTTTAACGGTTTTGAATGAATAGAACTTTTCACATGGCTCGATGAAGGGTCAAACGACGACGGATTCACCCCAAACTTGGTGTGTTGGGGTTTTAGAATATGTAAATCAAGTTCAACGGAGCGGATCATCCATAATGTAGCTCAATCATGTGATTTTAGACCGCGTCAAAATAGAAAAACGAATAATGTCCATTTAACCCGACTAATAAATAAATCAGATATAGTTAAGAGATTTGAACCATCAATATCACTTGATCATATTAAAATGATAAGACTATTTTCAAGAGAAATCAAATAATCAAATAGAATAAGGAACTTGGTCAGTCAATCACAATTATAATTGGAAACGTGATCAAATGATATATCCAATTATTAAATGTGGGTCGGATATGGTTGAGCTCCTTAATAACCCGTTAAATGGATTCGAAATGGATCCGCTTTGTACCCAGATCCGATTACCATCCCCAATAAATCCGCAGTTGAGCGCCGAGCGCCCCAAAAACTCACTCAGCAACCGAAAACGATGATGCAGCGAGCCGCTCGATCTCTCGTCTCCAAGCTCCCAAAATCCCCAAAACCCTCGAAATTCCCCCAAATTCCCTCAAAAATCCCCCAGAACCCATCAAGATCTCGCCTTTCACCCTTTACAACCGAAATCAGTCCCAGCAGAACCCACCATCGCAGTCTGAGCACAAACAGCGATCACAGCAGCGAGATCGATGAAATCAATATGAAGTTCGCGGAGGCTCGGGAGGAGATCGAGGCGGCGATGGAATCGAAGGAGACGGTGTACTTCGACGAGGAGGCCGAGTGCGCTCGCGATGCAGTGAAGATTGTGTTGGATAAGTTCGAGGGCCTGATGGCGAGGATGGAGGAGAAGGAGAGGATGGCGTTGCAGAGGTCGATGGGGCTTAAGATTGAACAGCTCAAAGCTGAGCTCAAGCAGCTGGATGAGTAGAATCTTGGAGGAATTCTTTTGAGGTGGGTCTCTTTATTAGCATTAAGATATGATCAGAGTTTAGAATTTTGGATTCAGAGGTCATGATTCATGTTGCAATAATCATAAATTTGTTGAATTTTGCTCCTGAATATGGTTTTATTATAAGAGTTCTATTAGTAAATCTAAGCTATGATGTGGAATGCGTTCTGCTTGTTATTGAGGGTGATACTGAATATGTTATCAAAGTTTTTATTTTGGGTTCAGATTTTATGATATCCATTGAATAAAGTGTGCTTTAGGAATTTTAGGGTTACGAAACGAGTGAAATTTTGGGTAGGGTGAAGAAGAAATATGTTTAGCAGTATGATAATAGAAACGCGATTTAACATTCTCACGGTGTAATTTGTGAGAGGATTTGAAATTCAGATAAAACCACAATTACATGGAGTATATAAGATATATTAAAATGAAAATAGACCTAAAATATAAATATGGTTGAAAGTAGTTCAATGAGGAGGCCAAGTGCGCTTCCAAGGCAGTGAAGGTTGTGCTGAATAAGTTTGAGGGATGGATGTTGAGATTGGATGAGAATGGGAGGATAACACTGTAGAGGTCAATAAGTGTCTAGATCGAGCAATTTTAAGCTGAGCTCGAGCAACTTGATAAAAGGAAACTTGCAGAAATTTTTTGAGGTGAATCTCTTGTTGTTTTTCGATAGTTTGATACTTAATTAGTGTTGTGCGCAGCGGAAATTTCGGCAGCACCTCTGGTGTACAACAAGAGAGTAAGATCCCAACTAAATCCCTGTTTTACAAAGGAAACAAGAATCGACAGTGATATATCTCAACAAAGTGGGATATACACTCTTCCTTTCATCAGTTCTAGGACTGACTTGTCGAGGGAACCTAACAAGCTATTACAAATTACAGCAAGACAAACTATTTTTACGTGGTTCGACAAGTTGCTTACGTCCACGGGACAAGGAGGGGGGAGATCTACTATTAGAGAAAAAGAGAATACAAATAGGGTTTACAATCACACAAAGTCTCACAAATAAAACCCTCTTAAATCTCTCACAAAAAGGTATGCTAAAACCCTAAAAGACGACTGCAAAAAACTTTGATGTTTTCTCCTTTCCTGCCTAGCACAAACCCTAGGAGAACAAACTGCACACCGCCACACCCCTTTTCTCAACGAATACGGCATTTTTCCCAAGCTGCAGTTTTCTGTCTCCTGCACTTGCACGAATCCACCGCCACTCAAGAAAACCTTGCCCTCTGCCTGCAGTTTACTCTAGGGCACATTCAAAGCTATATTTATAGCTTTGAATTGAATCGGAAGGGCTTGCTTCTTTTTTTCCTTCACGCGTTAACATCACATGAATGTGATACTTTCACGTGGTGGCCCCATAATCAATCCACGTTCATAATTCTCCACCTCGGCGAAGTTTTGCCAAAACTGAGCCGACACCAACCAAACCAAATGTCTCACTTGTTGTGTCTAGTACGAAGTGAAATAATTCACGACAACGGACTCAATCCACAACAAGTTGAGAACCTAAATGAGAATACGAACAAACTCCAAACGTCGGTATCTACTCCCAAATCAGCTACATCATAAATGATTGCCTACGTATCCTTTTGCTTAAGGAATCAAGCCTTCACGTAGTTCTCCCAAATGGCCTCCAAATGCCTCAACACTAAAGAATGTTCAAAAGCTCCAAATAATGACCAAACTTAACACCTGAAACAACTTTGGTCAACATAT